TATCTTTCCCGGACGGCTCACTCTGGGCGATAGCTGCGTACATTGGGTTCGGCTCCAGTGTCTCGCGGCGCGGCGTGCTTTCGTCAAGAAGTTCTTCGGGTGAGTATGTTGGTGGTGATTCGGTGATGCAAGAGTCGGTCAGTCTTGCCATACAATTGACTGTTGTCGATTTGGGCAGTGTGTGCGTGGATGTCCTGACGTCTTGCAGAGATGACAGAACGGGGGTACGGGCTTTGGTTGTTGCCGGTTGTTGTAGCGCCGTTGAGTGTGAAACGCAAATTCGGGAACTGACGTTTTCTTCTTGTGCCGCTCCTCTTGCAGGTCCATGTCTTGCTGCTCGGCGTGAATTTCGGCGCAGAGTGCTGCTTCGGAAATCTTCCCGTGAGCTCGGAGAATGGCTCGAGTGGAGCGCCAATGAGGACCAAGTCCAGTGATGACGACTGTGACGAAGGCTTCTTCGGAGATTGACCCTCCGCATCGAATGAGTTTGTCGCGTAGTTCGCGGCACCGGCTGATATACGCCATTCCTTTTTCGCCTGGTTTCATCTCGATTGTTGTCAGTTGCGCCATCAACCGACTCTGATTTACGCTGTCTGTTGCTTGATACAGGCTGTTCAAGTGGCTGTATGCGAGTTCGGCGGAGTTGCCGTATCCCCGGTAAGACCGTATATTCTGCTGCTGATTCGGAGTGATGTTCCTCATTAGAATCGTGTACGCCATCATTGACTGATACGTGTACTGCTGTTTGTCGTACTGTGTGCCGTGTGTTGGGTATGGCAGGGATCCGTCGAAGAAGCCAAGAATCTGCGCGCCTTCCCTCATCCATTCGAACTCGAATGACCAGGTGAAGAAGTCCTTTCCGTCGAAGGGCCTTGACGTCTGCAGTTTTAAGACGTGCGCGAACTGTGACTGAACTTGAAGTGCGTCCAGTGTCTTCTCTTGTCCAGGTACAGGCTGTGGTTGTGGCATAAATCTGACGGGGCCGCGCTGGGGCTCGTACGGAGCAAAGGTAGGTTGCTGCTGTTGATTTCCACGTGCGTAGGATGAACCATCAAGGCTCATTGGAGTCACGTTGTTGTTGTTGTTGCTGTTGTTTGACTGTGCAGGTGCCGACTGTTGGTGTTGCTCGTAGACGGACATGAAGGAGAAAAATTTCTCCATCATGTTCTGATCGAAGCTTGCAGGTTGATTCGCGGGAGTCTCAGTAGAAGTTGCTCTTGGTCTTGTTGCCGTACCCTCCTCTGTCTGTAGGCCAGAGGCAGGAGGTGGAGTAGGAGTAGTACCCGGGGAGCCGTTAGAGGAGCTCCTTTCTTTTTGTGTTGCCATGCCTTCTGACGTTGTAGATAACTTGATAGTAGTTGAGTTCCCCCTGTTAGCTCTCATACCATGTTGGGCTGAGAAAAGCCCTTAGGATCTTTGCAGGGCTGAACTCTGGGTAGGACTTGTTGTAATTAGCGGAAGCGTTTTAATGAAGTAGTTGAACCACCTTGCGCTGGTATGTGAGGGCAAAGTGAATTGATTAAAGCAAAGAGATACAGGATTATATAAGAGTACAAGGAATACGAAGAGATACGGTTGCAACTACTTTGCTGTTGCTGTTGCGGTTCGATACAGTGACGAATCGGGCAACTGCTCTGTAGCGAGTCAGTTGTGTGTCCTTGCTGTCGCGCTGTACTTGTCAGGTCAAAGGTCGCTGACCTTTGACTTTCGCGTAACCTCCAGCAACTGCTCAACCTCCGAGGGTTGACTCGCCAGTGCTTCGATATGCTTCGCTTCGCTCCTGACTTGGTGTTTCGACACGACAGAGGCGCTTAGAATTAATTGTTTCCAACAGCTGGTGTTGTTCGTAGAATGACATGAAGGAGAAGAATTTCTCCATCATGCTTGGATCGAAGCCGGTTGCATGGTTCGCAGGAGTTTCAGTAGACTCAGCGGCTCGCTGTATGTAGTCCAGAGGCTGGAGGTGGAGTAGGAGTAGTGCCGGGAGATCCCTTAGAGGAGCTTCTCTCCTTCTGTGTTGCCATGCCTTCTGTTGTTTTAGGAGTTTGAATGAAGTTGGATCTTGCCTTGTTAGTTCTGATACCATGTTGGGCTGAGAAAAAGCCCTTAGGATCGTTTCAAGGCTAAGACCCTGATTAGAGATGATGTAATTGCGGAAGCGTTCTTAGTGAACTGTTGAACCACCTTGCACTAGTATGTGAGAGCAAGAGATTGATTATAGCAAAGTAATACAAGGTTTTTTATAAGATTACAGAGAATACGAAGAGATGCATTTTTACTGTTTTGTTGCTATTGCGGTTCGATACAGCGACGACTCGGGCAACTGCTCAATACCGAGTCAGTTGCGTGTCCTTGCTATCGCGCTGCTTTTCGTCAAGTCAAAGGTCGCTGACCTTTGACCTTCGCGTAACCTCCAGCTGTTACGTTTTGTCAACCAACTCGGTTGACTCGCCGTTTCTTCGCTGTAGTTTGCCTCGTTTACAGTTCGATGTTCCGACACAACAGATGCGTTTAAATTACTTGTTTCCAACAAAGAAACACTGACACTGTATGTGTAACTGCAATACAATTGGATAGAGGAATACACCGTTCAAAGGCCAAGGCTAGCTAGGTCTATACAAACCAATGTCTGTCCAACCGGTTCCCGGGTTATCACAACAGAGTCGTCATTCTAGATGTTTGGCGCACAATGCGTTCTGCCAACTCCTGCACGTTACCTGGTTAGGTAGTTCTGATGTGCAATGTGATGTACAAGATCGTGAAATGAAATACACGTATGACTGTCTCCTTGAAAAGGACATGTGTACATTAAGCTACAGCTTACTGAGAACTCCGCTGCTGTGTAAGAAATGACTGTATCCCGCTGTGGAGGTAATTTATGATTCTCCCCTCTGGCCAGTTCCAACCACTTACTGTAGCTTCTCACTGCTTGCCTCATCCGACCTTGCGTCACTGCTGGTACAGGTGCAATGAATACAGCACTGTATTAACAGACGTTCCCACGAATCATGCCATCCTCCTGCCTCCTTTCTAGGCAAATGTTTTGTTCAGAGTCCAGCTGCTCTACAAAAATTCAGGGGCAAATATCAAGCCGTGTTTCAAACTCGGATTTCAACACGGCTTATTTCTATATTCGGATTGCGATTTTCCTGGGAGCTCTCGCAGCAGCGCAGTGAAATCATCTCGAAGCGCATTGTCCCACTCATCATTGGCATACATTTCCTGATACACCCTGTTCTCGATAATTTCACACCTCCTAATTTCACACCCCGACTCGGGATCACCAGCAGGGGCTTTGGCTGCTGAGCTGGCGAACCGTGAAGGATCATTGAGCTGACAACTGCAGAAATGACCGCTATTTATACTGTCCGCAGCCCAGAGAATTAGGGGAGATTGGGGATTCTTTCGGGTCGCATCCAAAGTTTTGTCAATCACAAGATGTCAACTTTCGTTGCACGGCTTTGGGTTGGAAATTTGGGACTGCATTTGCTACAAAGGCATGTTACTTTCAAACCACGCGCATGTGTCGAATTTCCAACCCAATTGTGATTAAGTTTTTGATTTTGGGTGTGGGCAAACAAATTCGAATTTGTGGTCAGGATTACGATAAACACAATCTTGACGTGACTGTTTTTCATTGGACACAAATATTTTTCAAGATCGTCAACACTGAGGAGGGTCATTTCAAGTCATTTTCATTCCCTGCCAGCACAGCTTTACCGCGCCTCGAGAGTGAAATTATCGGGGAGAAGATTCGCCCCTTTAATTTCACACCCTCTCGGGCAAAAAAATCGCGGTTCGTGATGAGAGGGTGTGAAATTATCAAGAGCAGGGTGTACAGTAATAAACTCTTCCAGAATGTTTCTGTGCGATTATCCCCTATGATAACCTGCACCAAGCTGTCAGTCACAACCAGCTCCCCTACATACACTAGGTGGAGAAGTCGGAAAACCATGCCCAGTGTGTGGAACGTGTGATCCCTTTGCAAGGTTGACAAGCGACTGCGTGGGGAGGAGGGGTTGAACCCGACCCCACCATTCGCAAGTGACTGCCTTCATGAATTTTGACTCAACACACATCACTGTGGAAACCTTTGAGTTGGTTGTACGTCTGTATGTGACTTCGCAAGCAATCAACCTTGCAATGCAGGTTTACATAATAAGGGTGATTCGTATCCCGTGTCAGACACGAAGTTGGAGGTTCGGAAGACACAAAGTGACTAGGTTTGTGCCTTCCGGACCTAAATTTGCCTGAATTTTGAGCCACTTCGTGTCTTCCGAGCATCCACTTCGTGTCAGACCTCATGTGTGAATCGGGATACGAAAACGCCCTAAGTTAACCCTTTTTCCACCCAGCGGAGTGCGATGGAAATCCTGAAACGGTAGGGTGGCCGAAATCGGACAAAGCGAGTTGCTCGCTTCAAGTGGTGCCAAAGCAGTTGATTCCACATATCTAATGAATCACAGTTCTATTCGGTGTGTTGTATTGCAGAGCGGTACAGTACATTAGCAAGCAAGATTTCCATGAAAGCTCGCTGAACCCGAAGTTCCAGCTGAGATGAGCCGCGTGCGATAAACAGTAGCGGTAGATCTTGTGTGTTTCCCACGTCCTCTCTCCCCTTTCTCCCTTCCCCAACCGAACGCCAAGAAGAAGCGAACTTCATCAAAGCTCCGCTGACGAGAGATGGGTCGATCTCATGGCGTGAGCCAACAACGTGTTGTTGGCTCGAACGAGCCTGCGGGGCTTCCGGCACCAAGAAACGAACTGCAGGAACTCCCGCAGCCCATCTCCTGTAACGTGGCTTTTGAAGAAGCTCCAGATAATTCGAACGTCGGATCGAGCTCAATCGGCCCCGTGTACGTGCTACCATTGTAGAATTATTTTCTTAAACTACAGGCCAGCATTTCCCTCACTCGCGGCCGTCGTGAGAAATATTAATCTCTTCGTCGTCAGTCGGCACTCCATCTTGTTCACTTTACTAGCCATTTACATTTATCGCCATGGGAGCGCCGGCGACATCGCAGTGCGGCGTTCCCCAGAGCTGGCGGCGATCCAAGCCGCGCATCCTGCCAGCTCATCGCCTCGCACACCGCAGCTCTGCGCCGCCAATCGCAGAGGCCCCCTCAAATCTCACGGGCAAGACAGCGTCTGCATTCCGAGGAGGTGGCGAAGCGGGCGGAAGGGCGGCAGGGCGGGGCTGGGGGGGAGCGGAGCCGTGGTTGGCGGTGCAGCGGCGGTGGCTCACGATATTCTTGCTCGCGTGGCTAGCGGCGGGGCTGGCTCTGGCGGCGTGGACGGTGAGTCGCTCGCACGGCGCGCTGCAGGACGAGCGGCAGGCGGCGCTGCTGACGTGGTGCGGGGAGCGCGCGCGGTCGCTGGTGCACCAGTTCCGGTCGTCGAGCGACCACGCGATGGTGTTCACGGGGCTCGTCGAGGTGTTCGGCGAGACGACGGACGGCAACCCGTGGGGCCACGGCAGCTGCATCACGCGGGAGAGCTTCCAGGCGTATGTGAATGAAACGAGCTACGCGCGGCCGTGGGTGTCGTCCATCACGTGGATCGTGTTCGTGGACCACGCTGACAGGTACTAGTGCTCCCGCCCCCCACTTCACCCCCTCACGCCTCTATCTCCTCCCGTTAGGCGCTTCACGTATTGGCACGTGACCGCCGGCCAACACATCATCATTGCTAACCGGCGCGTGGTCACGTGACATTTCCTAAACTCGAAAGTATAGTTAAGTATCAAGGGCTCTATCCGGCGCTGAAATCTGGCTGACGGCGCTTCATGTGGCGTTGACTCGAGAGGGAGAAAGGGGTGTGGAGGGCAGTTGCAAATAGAGGAGGGGAGTGGATGCATGGGGAAGGTAGGGTGAGGAGGGCGAGGGTGGAGCAGTGGAAGTGCGGTGAAGGGTTTAGGAGAGAGATGGCGAGGCGATGGTGCTGGTTCATGTGAATGCTGAATTTCCACCCGTTTCAACTTTTTTTTTTTGCACGGGCTCATGTTACACTGTTGATTTTGTTGTGCAGTGCACAAAGGTTTTGAACCCTTTCCAAATGGTTAGTTTCTTGAGAAGCGTTTGAGTCATACGCTAGAGCCTTGTAGTATGAAGGACGAAGGCACGTGCGCATGCCTTCATTTATCCCATGTGAGCATGCAATTGACCATGAACACACTTGCCTTCCTGCTCTTAACATGATGCATCGTGCCTGGCCCCACGTGATGTCATGGTGGCTGGGGGCGTGTCGCCGGCGCACCAGGGCGGATTTCGAGAGGCGGTTTGGCATCCGGATTCTGAGTCCCCTGACACGACAGGCGTCGCCGCCTCGGGACTGGTACGCGGTGTTCCTGTACGTGAGCAAGGGCGAGCGCACCAACAACAGCGACTGCTGCTACGACGCTCTGCAGTCCAGCCGCTTCAAAGAGGCCATCATGCACGGGCAGGCCACACACAACATCTCCATCACGCCCACCTACACCATCTGGAACAACCACCCCGCTGTTGGTGCGCACCCTTCCTCCCTTCTCCCTCCTGCTGCTCCTCGCTGTTGCATGCGTCTCTGCTCCAAACTTTAGTCTTCTCTCACTCTTTGTCTCCTGCCTTCCTATCCTTCCTGCTTCATCCTCCTTAACCCCCTCCCACCTCCTCCCAACCCCCCTCGCGCTCACGCCCTCGCTCTTGCCCCCTGGCAGGGCTGGGCTTCCCAGTGCTGCAGAACACGAGCAGTGGCGAGGTGGTGATGAGGGGCATGATAGGCGCGGCCATCGACATGCAGGACCTCATCGACTTCCTTCTCAAGCACCTCCTCTCCGCCTGTAACGCCCTCGCCTTTCCGCCTCAGACCTTTGGTTCTCTCCGAATGTCTCCCCCCCCCTTCCCCCTCTCCTCTGTTTCGGTTGACCTCTCACAATGGGGATCTGTCAGCTTTGTGTTGGCCCTTTCCTCTCTCTCTTGTGTTCCGATCATCTTATTCCATCCCTTAAACCCTCAACCCGTCCCATCTCATATTACCTCATCCCATTTCATCCCACCCGTCCCAGACCATCCCAACCCTTTCCATCTCGTCTACATTCATCATCGCGTCATTTCATCATCCTACCCCATCCCATCCCATCTGAACTCATAATCTCATCTCATCACTTCAATATCACATCTTATCTCATCTCCCCCCACCACCCTCACCCCATCATGACCGCACCTCTGGCAGCGGCGCCGTTCAAGCTACAGCTGTACGACACCAGCAACAGCACAGCGCCAGTGCTCATGTACGACAGTGACGGGCTGCAGCGCCTGCCCACGCTGCAGGACAACGTCGTGGCGCCCGCCACGCCCGCCATGCTGCAGCCCGATAGGTTCAAACACGTTGAGCCCATCGACCTGCGCGACCCCTCCCGCCAATACGAGATGTGGTGCCGGTGAGACGCCTCCTTTCCCCCTTCTTGCCCCACATAAGTCTTCCCCTCTTCCTCCCTGTCCCCCTCCCACCCCTTCAACACTTTTCCCTCTCCTGCACACGGTTCCTGTCCCCTCGATCGTTCCCACCTTCCCCCTTGCCTGCACATGCATGCGTCCCTCAGGTACACGGAGGGGGACACGGTGGCGTGGGAGTGGAGCTCGCTGTCATGGGGCGTGCTGCTGCTCGTGGTGTTCATCCTCGTGTTCTACATCCTGCTCACCATGGGCCGCCAGAACGCCGCCATGCGCCGCAACTACCGCCGCATGGACGCACTCAAGGGGCGCGCCGAGGCAGCTGACCGTGCCAAGAGCAACTTCCTGGCCACCGTGTCGCATGAGATCCGCACGCCCATGAACGGCGTCCTCGGTCAGCAATCCCTCGCCCTCATTCCATCTCCACACTTGTCATCCCTTCTTCTCCTCACGTGAGCTACACGCGTCGGCCTCCTCATCCATATACCTCACTTGCTGTGCCCATCCCCCACGCGGTGCGGTGCGGTGCGGTGCGGTGCGGTGCGTGGCAGGCATGCTGGATTTCCTGCTGGATTCGAAGCTGGACGCGCAGCAGCAGGAGCATGCGCGCATGGCGAGGGCGTGTGGGCAGACGCTGGTGTCGCTGCTGAACGACGTGCTGGACCTCGCCAAGGTGGAGGCGGACCGCCTTGAGCTCGAGCACCTGCCCTTCAACCTCCGCGCTGCTGTCGATGACATCCTTGACATCTTCCGCACCAAGGCGCAGGACGTCGGACTCGAGTGTGAGTCATATAGACACTGGTGACACCGCCTGTGCTGACCGTGCTTTGCAGCGCAGACGCTTTCCCTTCCGTGTCATCCATCCTTCTCCCACTCTCCGTGCTCACATCATCCGTTTCCCGACCCTCTCCCGTGGCAGTGGCAGCGCTGGTGGACAGCAGTGTGCCGGAGGTGGTGGTGGGGGACCGCATTCGCCTGCGCCAGGTGGTCGTCAACCTCATCGGCAACAGCATCAAGTTCACCCCGCGCGGCCACATCTTCCTGCACGTCTCCGCCCCCTTCACCTCCTGCCCCGTGCCCTCCTCCCTCCCCTCGCCCCTCGCCCTCCGCTCACGAGTCGTCACGTCCCAAACTGCCTCCTCTCCGCACCGCACCCCCTCGCCGTGCAAGCAACCCTTGTCCCCGGGCACGCCTCCCTGGGGCGTGAACAGCATAGAGGTGCAAGTGGCCTGCTCGCCCCTGCGCCGCCCCTCCAGCCCCCTCGCGGCCTCTCTGCTTGCCGCGGGGCGCAGCCTCTCGCGCACCTACCAGACGCTCTCAGGCCGCCCCTCCACGCTCTGCTGCACGCCTGGCGCCGCACACAGCAGCGCAGGCGCCCCTGGGTGCGGGCCCACAGTGTCGTGCGTGCCGGGGGAAGTGTTTGGCGGCTGCTTCCCCGCGCTGCTGCAGGGCGGGTACAGACGCGTGGAGGAGGGGTTGCCCGTGGATAACAGGGAGGACCATGGGGACGCGGGGCACATGGGGGAACGGGAGGAACTGGTAGAATCACAGGGAGAGGGGCAGAGCAAGGAGAGGAGTGAGGCAATAACACTGCTGGTGACATGTGAGGATACAGGGCTGGGCATTCCGGTGAGCGCGCAGGGCAAGATATTCCAGCCGTTCACACAGGCAGAGAGCAGCACAGCGCGCACGCACGGCGGCACGGGCATCGGGCTGACGATCTCGAAGCGCCTGGTGAAGCTGATGGGCGGAGACATGACACTCGTGAGCGAGCCCGGGGTGGGCACCACCTTCGTCTTCACCGTCACCCTCGCAACCATGCCCCCGCGCCCCCCGCGCCCCCTGCCGCCGGGTGTGCCAGCGAGCCTGCGGTGGCTGGTAGAGGAGGACCCAGACATGGCGCCCGTGGTGGCGGCGCTGGCAGGGCGCCGCGTGCTGCTCGTGGATGGGCTGGCAGTGCGGCAGCGCGTGGCCGCCTCCGTGCTCACACGCCTGGGCGTCACTGTGCTGCCCGCCTCCGATGCTGCCTGCGCCATCGCCATGGCCATGGGGGGGTGCCATGCAGGTGGTATGGCAGGCGATGGCATGGCGGGTGATGGTGTGAGTGACGGGGGAGAAGCAGCAGGGCGGGGCGTGGGGGAGGAGGGAGCAGTGCGGGCGTGGGATGTGATTCTGATTGACAAGGACGCCTTTGGGCCGCGCTCAGGCTTCCACGTTGCCAGGGCTGTCAGGGACGCACAACGGGCAGGGACGGTGGCAGACAGGGGCGAAGGCAGCGCCGCAGGGGAGGAGGGGGGTGGTGCATGCGAGGGGGTGCAGGGGAAGGGGGAGGGTGGTGGGGGCAGCAAAGCAGTGGCAACCATGATCTTGATGGCGTGCAAGCTGGAGGCGGAGGACAAGACAGAGGCGGACGAGTGTGGGTTTGCAGATAAGCTCCTGAAGCCGCTCAGAAAGTCCATTCTGGCGGCCTGCCTCATACAGGTGTGTGCCTCATACTCCAAATTGTACGCTCCACTGCTTCCCCTTCTAGTATTTTCCAGCCTGCATTGCATCTTGGCCTCGTTCCTTGCTGTAGTATGTCACATGCGACAAGTTTCACCACATCCTCTCCCCACACCCTGGTCCTTAAACCCCATGTCCTGTCTGTGTGCTGCTCTGGTGGTCCTGTGTGGTGCGGGCGGCACCAGGTGCTGGGCATCAAGATGGCGAGCAGCCAGTCAGGCAGCACGGAGAAGCACAAGCGTAGAAAGGCAATGGAGGCACTCGTCGGAGGAAGGAAGATTCTTGTGAGTGCCCTTGCTCTCTCTCTCCCCGCCTCCATCCTAGTTGCTCCCTCCACCAGTGCTTGTCATTCTCTCTAATTCCTCTCCACCGCCTGTAGCGCATCCTTCACAGCATGCCCGTCTCGCGCTCTCTCCCTCGCTCCCCCCCGGGCACCAGGTGGTGGACGACAACGTGGTGAACCAGCGTGTGGCGGAGCGCATGCTGCAGCGCTACGGGGTGCTCACACACGCCGTGCACAGTGGCACCGCTGCCCTCGCTGCCCTGGACGAGGCGGCAAGCAGCGGGCACCCCTTTGATGCTGTCTTCATGGACGTGCAGATGCCCGGCATGGACGGGTGAGTGAGTGACTGGGGATGGATAGGTGAGCGATGATACAGATGGTTTTTCATACGAGTCATAGGTGGGTAAACTAAAGTGCGAATGGATGATCACGTGTGCCTTCACTTCTCACGAAAATGCTGGTGTTAACATGAAGCGTGGCAGGCTAGCCTGGGATGACCAGAGGTTACTAACTTGTCTCAATGTTTTTATTGAATTCCGTTGGACGAGTTGTGCATGTGGTGGGTGTGCTTGCGATAAGTTGTGTACCAGGGAGGATGCAGCACTTGCAAGTTCTCGAATTTTACCTGTTCACTTGCAATGCCATCAGGTACGAGACAACACGTGCCATCAGGCACAAGGAGAGGGAGAGCGGAGCAGCAGCCTTGCCCATATTTGCCATGACTGCCGATGTGATCAGTGGCAGTCGCACGCGCTGTGAGGAGGCGGGCATGGATGGCTTCATACCCAAGCCAATAGACGAGGAGCAGCTGCATGCCACGCTCTGGAACAGCTTTGGAAGACAATAGCACATCAGCGTTTTTGCTGATGCAGGTGGTTGTGCACCTGGAAAAAGGACCCTCCTCGGGATTTTTTCCACACCAATTGGTGTGTGGTTTTCCTCAGTGGTCACAGTGGGCCCTCAGATGTGGTCCTTCAAATTATGCCAATTGGTTCAATTAACTTCCACGCGTGCATCGGCACACCTCCTATTTGTGTCCCTCTTCTAGTCTCCTTTGCCTTCTCCCCTAACATGTTGTGTGGAGGCTTGGCTACAAATGAATCACATGTACCGTACAAGGACGACGGACGATTCTCTCAAACTAGTGGTACCTGCTCATCAATTCTTTTTTCAGACATCGATTCATCTGATTGTCTGATGATAGGGTTCGAGCTGTATGCTGTAGGTAGTATAAAATACAAAAAAAAACTCTGTGCATCTACACAGCCTAAAAGGCAGGAAGCAAACACATGAGTATACATGTAAGTTTTGAGAAACCACAACCCAACCTAACCAGTAGGTGTATTTTGTTACGTTGCCAGCACACAGCGAATCAATGCCGTAAGTCGTGGGAGTCGTGGAGGTAACCAGACCTCGCACGAGCAACATGAGGGTGTGGGATCTCAGTCTCGACTCCTTCAGTTCTGACGAGTACCGCCAAATCCGTTCAAATCATACACCTTAGGCTCCACTTAGGAATACCGTACGCTCATCCGACTCGCCTCTCACAGCTCGTGCGCGATCCGCCATGCTCGCTCCAGTGGGCTCCAGCGCGCCTGCGGCGTCGCCTCGGCCGCCGGGTGGAGGCAGCGAGGCGTTGATGCCGACGGCGGTGGAGGGCGAGGAGATGGTGACGCTGCTGGAGGACGCCCGGCAGGAGGCGGACGAGGAGCGCGGCCGCGTGTCCACGCAGCGCCACTCCGGAGGCAAGGTGAGCGCTGCTGCGGGCGCGGTGGCCGCGCGAGTAATCAAGCCATTGACTTTCAAGAAAAAGTAATGACTAAAACGTCAATTGTTTAGCAGCGTGATCGCGTTTCCACCCTACTGGTGTAGCACGCTTAGCGCTGCGCTAAGGAAACCTGGCGGTGCACGGTGATTGGTCCGCCGTGGCTTTTAGTTAACCCTCGCTCGCCTTTCCCGACGCGCATCTCGTATCCTTGCTCCAAATGCTCGTCGCGTCCCACATTCCCCTCCGCGCGCCCTCCACATCCGTTGCGGGACTTTCTCCGGTATGTGACAGGAGCGCGCGGAGAAGCACGAGAAGCGGCGGAGCCGAGGAGGCGGGGCGCACGGCGGGGGCTCGCAGGACGGGTGGAACGTGCGGGAGAACTTCTGGTGGCTGTGGGGGGGCTCGCCGCACGCGGGGCTGCTGTGCATGCTGTCGTCCGCGCTGCTCTTCAGCTTCATGGGCCTGCTCGTCAAACTCCTCTCAGGTCCCGCGCGCCTCCTTCCCCCCTCCCCCCTCCCCCCGCCCACACGCACGCCCTTCCGCCCTCGCCTCCTCGCGCTCCCTTGATCTTCTCTTTCCCGTCGAGTGTTTCTGACGTTGGAAGAGAGTGAGCGGCGATGCAAGGCAGATAGCCTTAACACGCAAGGGCAAGCACGCTAGCCTGGGAGCACCAGTTCAGTCAGGCCCAACACAGCAAGCTACATTCACGGGGCCTCGGGACCTATATCGCCTTCCCCCCTCCCCTACATCCCCCCTCATTCCCCCCTCTCCCCCCTTCTCCCCGGTCCCCCACTCCCCCACGCGCGTCCGTGGCAGTGCACTCAATCCCGTCGTTTGAGACGGTGTTTGTGCGCTGCGCCGTGATCGCGGCGCTCTCCGCCCTGTGCCTGCACCGCATCGGCCACCCACTGCTTGGCGCTCCCACGCTGCGCCTGCTGCTGCTCGCCCGTGCTGTCCTTGGCTTCATCGCCCTCTCTGCTTTCTTCTACAGGTTAGCTTTCATGCCACGCACCCACTCACTCTATTAGCCCATGGGCAATGGCTATCCTTGTTTTACTCTCTTAACCCCCATGACTGCCTTTGCCGTTCCCTCTCTGTCCCACTGCTCTCTCTCCCTTGTTCCCTCCTCCCTCCCTCTTCCTCTCTCTCCCTCTTTCTCTTTCTTTATCCTTCCCTCTCTCCCTCTCCCGTTCCCGCTCCCCCCTTCCCTCTCTCCCCGTCCCTCCCCATCCCTCCCCTCCCTCCCCTCCTTCCCCATCCCTCCCCTCCCTCCCCTTCCCTCCCTCTCCCCTTCCCCCCAAACTGCATCTGTCGGTCGCGTGTGGCTGCAGCATCCAGGTGTTGCCGCTGAGGGACGCAACCCTAATCAGCTTCACGCTGCCAGTGTTCACGGCCATCATCGCCAGTGTCTTCCTCGACGAAAAGTTCACCTCCAGAGAAATCGCAGGTCAGCCCTGTGCTGCCGAATGGCCGAGAGATAGCAGCACACGCGTAGAGCACATGTATGGCAATTGTACACGCACACATAGCACAGCACTACCCTCTGCGCGTCTTCTGTTCAAGCCTGGAAGCGATTCACTTGCTTTTTCCTCTGGATCGCCATGTTGCTCGTGGGTTGTGTGCCGCCACGCCATCCCTCCTGCAGGTTCTGCGTGCTGTCTTCTGGGCGTGCTCATGGTGACCCAGCCCCCCATTGTGTTCGGAGGTACCTTCTAAGCCCAGCACCCATCGTTTTGCTGCTTTCAATTCTGCTTCTCAAATGGTCCTTGGTGTTGATTCATGGAGGGGTTACGGGTACAAGCATGCAGGTGATATTGCAACTGTTGTGTCATCCCTCACGCCATGTGCCCTCATTCGTCTCCCTTCACTGCATTTCCTAAGCACACCTCCGTGTTGTGATCCCGCATGGCGCTGCCTTCTTCTGTGTGCTGCGTGTGGCCATCAGGCCCACTGACACAGCAGGACGACCCATCGCAGCGCCACGAGAGTCTCGTGGGGGTGCTGGTGGCGCTGCTGGCAGCGCTGGTGGGCGCCGTGGCTCTGTGCCTCGTGCGCAGCATCGGCAAGGCAGGGGAGCAACCACTGTATGCCTCTCACCATCCCTAGTTTGCCTCTAGTTGTTCTCTGGCTCCGCCCAGGTGCGGCGCTAAGTGGGCCCTATGGAAGTATGCTGTTGGCCGCTGTGGCCCTTTATTGCTCATGCAGCTTTTTGAGCTCTCTTTTGCCACCTTGCAAAATTGCGCCTTTTTATTTCTCGTCGTTTCATCAGTTTTAGCATTCAACCGTCTTATCTGTGTGGCGTTCCCCTGTTGCCTGCCAATGTGTTCAGGGCGGTTGTCTTCGTATTTGCAGCCTTCTCCTGCCCAGCGTCCTTCATTTGTCTCCTTCTTTTCCAGGTCATTTCTCTTCCTCGCCTGTGCTCTCGTTACTTCCGCCAGCCCATGCCTCTGCCTTCTCTCTCATATTTTCTCATGATATTGCTTCTATTTCCGCATGAAAACGTAATCTGTGCAGCAGGTCTGTGTCTCCTTGTGCCCCTCCGTGCCTTTCACTTCCTGACCGTTGCACTGCCTTTTTGCTCTTATACGGCTCTTGTGAGAACTTGGCGGTGCTGCCTCCTTTTATCCGCACAGGGGTTTGTGATGCCATCAGCATCGGAGCTGGTGGGCATGCTGCTTGTGGGTGTCACCGCATTCGCCGCTCAGGTCAGACCTGCCGCTTCTTTGCTTCCACTCTCCCCCTTGTTGCTGTGCCCTGCCGCCCATTACGTGCACCTCACAAAAACGCTTGAACGGCACATTCCTGTTGAGTTTACTTTCATCATGTCTCCCATCCCCTCGGGTTTAAGTTTCCGTCCCCTGTGCACTTGCTCGTATCTCCCAGGTACTACTCACGCGTGGGCTGCAGCTGGAGAAGGCAGGCAGGGCGTCAGCAATGCAGTATATCAAGGTGACCACATGCTGTGCCCCCATGTGCCATGTGCTGTGTACCTCGTGTGCCATGTGCTGGTGCCCCATGTGCCATGTGCTGTGTACCTCGTGTGCCATGTGCTGGTGCCCCATGTGCCATGTGCTGTGTACCTCGTGTGCCATGTATTGTGTGTCCCATGTGCAGTGCATTTTGTGCCCCATGTGCCGTGTGTTTTGCGCCTACGTGCCATGTGTTTGGTTCTCCTTGTGCCGTGTGTTCCGTGCCCTGGTTGGCATGTGGGTTGTGCCCTATAAAGCGCTGCAGTCAAATATATTCGGGTTGCCCTCTGTGCTATGGCCATGAGCAGCACTCACACATGCTGCATGCTTCCTGCCCCCCCTGCCGCACCGCCAGGTGGTGGGCACGTTCTTCCTGGGGCTGCTCTTCCTGTCGGAGCGCCTCTCTCTCAAGAGTGCAGCGGGCACTGTGCTCATCTGTGCCGCCACCGCCTTCATTGCTGTGGGCGACAGGGATGGCAGGGGCGACGAACGCGCTTGACCTACACACGCATGCTGCTGCTTGCTGCTCTGGGAATATATATCAGCGGGGCTAGATGGACTTGTTTGATGGAGTGGGGAGGAATAGGCAATTGTCGTCTGCTAGTGGTGAGGGCGCATTTCAAACAGCAGATGCGAATGAGCAAGCTGCCAGCATTGCTGTCTGTTGGTTCTGTAGGGAAAAGTTTGCCTCCGATGTATGGATTCCCTGGAAATGTTTAGAGAACAAATTTGTACCGGTATCACCAACAACACCAACTCTCAACTCAGTGGTTGAATACCCCACAAAAAAAAAAAAAAAAAAAAAAAAAAAGGAGGGTTTGGTGTCAAAACATATCGTTATGTTCTTACTCTAGGTTGTGTAGGGTCACACCTTAGAGGGTACAACCCAACTCTCTCGACACTATTGTACCCCCTCTCCCTCACCTAATCATCATTCCTCACCTAGCTACTAGTGATTCTAACATGGTATTAAGAGCACAATGCTCCTTAGGACCGAATGTTTAAAAGGGCCCACCACTACTATTTCGATCTACTGCCCGAGTCGCGCCCCTAGGAGAAACGCGAAATTCGAAACCGTGCTCTAGGCGAGACGGTTCCTTTTTCTGCCCT